ATCTACATTTTTTTCAAATTTCAGCCTAAAAATTTATAAAAATGAGCAAGTTATTTTCTAGTAGCTTCAACTTTTCCTTTAACAATATTTTCATTAAGTTATGGTGAAATTTCATATATATTAGGTTTAAAATATAAAATATTGGGTAGAGTAGGAACTATCATAATTCAAAATAATGTATTTCTGCTTTGCAATTTGGAAAGATTAGACGTTGTAATAATGTTGTTTCATAGAAGCCATTAAATTTTAATCTTTAAAATTAAATGGAATAAATAAAACTAATAATCGAGATACTTCTTTAGTAATAATTAATCTAAAGAATACTGTTATTTAGCGATCCTAATGATTTACGTAAGTATTTCCCTATGGCTTCACGAAGAATCATGTCTACTTTCAGCTCAATGTGACATTAGTCATTGGGCCTTTAATCTGGATTGCTAGTGACTAATAGTCTCAATGCAAAAAAAAAAAAAAAGTGAAAGATTCATCCAATTTATTTACCAAAATTGACCTTTAGAATATTCACAGTGTAATTTCTATGTCGTTTCGAATGAGGATGAGAGACGACATTTATTCAATTAATTAGAACAACCGAAACTGAATTGATTTTTTTTAAATATATTAGAAAACAATAATTCTATTAAAACAAAAATCGATTATTGATTAATTTTAGCAAAGTTCTCTGTAAATAAAAGTACAATCTATCATCTTCAAGGAGTTAAAATTCGAAAATAATTCGATATCTATGTCACATATGTCACCGAAAGATTATATATATATATATAGGCTCAATNACATTTAAAAAAATCTAACCTGCCATTTTTCCTAAAACTAAAAAGAAAAAAAAATCTAGACCATGCTGTGTCCGATATTCCCATGTGGCACCAGGTAATAGCAAGACAGTACCTGGGCCAACGTCAGGAAGCTAGAAAGTAGTCAAAATTTAGCAGACAAAGGAAATAAAAAAAAACGAATTATAATTTATTTACACACATCCGTTAGAAAAATAATTTAACATCTCAAATATTAAATTATTACAGTTTTAGATTGACACGATTAGGAGCTGATAATAACTACGTCAACCTATTAGAAAAACAGAGTAAAAATAACAATTAAACTGTTCGTGATTGCCCCAAATCGCCATGTTTGATTCTAACAAGCTTTAGAAATAAGACATTACTCTACTTACATCTTGATATATAATAAATAACTAGCATAATTCATATATATCTAAAAATTTCATATGATACTTGTGATAAACAAATACTAACTGGAAGATAAAATCTTTCAAAAACAAAAAGTTTTCGGCTTCAAAAAACATGGACGAAAACCAGAGCACATAAAATACGTCATAATATACGACTGATAGATTAGGAATCATAATAGTGTTGACAATCTTATAGTTTTTACACAATTTCGTGTCTAAGTTTTCCCTACATCTACATTGAATTAGAATATTTAATTAACTTCTTTTCATTCGACGTAGAATATACATTAATACGAGCAATTATTTAGCGATGTCGTGCTGCAATTTTTTATTTATTTAACTTAAATTATATGCTCTCCATCTCAAATTAGTAGTGTATAGCCCCTGTAAATCATACTTTTCCTATTAGCAATAGAGTCGTGCAGTTCATCTATACAACTCTTTTCAGGGGAAAATTTTGAATTGAAATAACTTGACTTCCATTACAAAGCCGAAGTTCGTATATAGTTAATCAGGATAGACAGACAAACTGACTGACTGGCGACAATGGAAATTTATAGATCTACATTTTTTTCAAATTTCAGCCTAAAAATTTATAAAAATGAGCAAGTTATTTTCTAGTAGCTTTAACTTTTCCTTTAACAATATTTTCATTAAGTTATGGTGAAATTTCATATATATTAGGTTTAAAATATAAAATATTGGGTAGAGTAGGAACTATCATAATTCAAAATAATGTATTTCTGCTTTGCAATTTGGAAAGATTAGACGTTGTAATAATGTTGTTTCATAGAAGCCATTAAATTTTAATCTTTAAAATTAAATGGAATAAATAAAACTAATAATCGAGATACTTCTTTAGTAATAATTAATCTAAAGAATACTGTTATTTAGCGATCCTAATGATTTACGTAAGTATTTCCCTATGGCTTCACGAAGAATCATGTCTACTTTCAGCTCAATGTGACATTAGTCATTGGGCCTTTAATCTGGATTGCTAGTGACTAATAGTCTCAATGCAAAAAAAAAAAAAAAGTGAAAGATTCATCCAATTTATTTACCAAAATTGACCTTTAGAATATTCACAGTGTAATTTCTATGTCGTTTCGAATGAGGATGAGAGACGACATTTATTCAATTAATTAGAACAACCGAAACTGAATTGATTTTTTTTAAATATATTAGAAAACAATAATTCTATTAAAACAAAAATCGATTATTGATTAATTTTAGCAAAGTTCTCTGTAAATAAAAGTACAATCTATCATCTTCAAGGAGTTAAAATTCGAAAATAATTCGATATCTATGTCACATATGTCACCGAAAGATTATATATATATATATAGGCTCAATNAATATTAATTAAGTTGATTTAAAATACAATTGTCTTTTAAAACGAATGTCAATTAAAGATATTAATTAATATACTGATAAGTAAATGTATATAAATATTTTAATATTCAGAAATTACTTATATATTTAAAGATTTAATGTAAAAAATAAAAGGAAGTATGAGAAAATCAAAATTATTTTGAAGGTTTTTTTCCTCTTAAAGTTACATGTTGAAAACAAGTTTGAAAGTTTTACTCAATCATTCTTTTTTTTTTAATACAAAATTTTCAAGGTTAATTTATTCAAAAATAAATCATGTTTAATTCCTCTTCTGTTAAAATTCATTCAATGATAAACACTAGTAAACTTATCTAAACATTAAAACAAAAATTTTAAAAACTTTTAATAGTGTTTATCTTATAGAATTTCATATTATTTATTTATTTTAATTAGATAAATATATTTATCATATTCTAATTTGGCATTCTTGTTGTTTTTCGTATTTAAAATTAATCGAAATTCCAAAAATAAAACGAGAAAAAGTAGAGGAATTCTTTTAGGAATTTCGACTTTAATGGATTATTTAACCTTTGTGCAATTTAAAATATTTATTTCAAAATTTTTCTTAATTAATTAATGATTAAATTTATAGCGAAGAAAACGCCATTATCGTATTAATTAAAATCATGAAGAAATATTAAAGGAAAATGCATAATATGTTAAATTCTTTTAGATGAAATTTTTAGATTTATTATTATTATTTTTTTAATGTGAATATTCTAATTTGTGGATATATATATGCATTATATTCTCGAGAAATCTTCGATTTACGTCATATTCTATCGGATAAATTACAATGTAAGATACGATAAAGGATATTCTAGCTACCTTATATCAAGGATGAATGTCGACTGTCGATGGAAAAACTCGATTTTGACTTACATTTCCTTTTGAAACAATAATAAAAAATTATAAATAAATAAATATTATATTCGAATTGACACTTTATACTGTTATTATTATAAATCGTTTAAGTTTTCTTTAATTTTTTTAATGAAATAAGTATCGAAAATATCAAATAGATTTAATTAAATTGTAAGATTTTTTTGGAATTTTTCTCTTCATTGCTCCATTAAAATGTATTATTTTTTTTCATGTGTATTCGATCAGAAATTGGATCGAATGTAGAATAGGAATTATCATTTCTCTTATGAATTGAGCAAGCTTTCCACTGAGATTCAGATAAAAAAAAAATTAAAAATAAATTTAAAAAACAAATGTTATTTTTCTACCTTTTCGTTATAAAAGAATTGCTGGATAAAAACTATTTTACTTAGAAACAAAAATAAACATATAAAGAGAATTATTACATTTTTATAAATAATTTACTTTTTCGAATTCTTTCTTTAAACTTACGATGATGACGACAAATGTACGTACACAGAGGTTAAAACTAGAATAAAATTCTTCTTGCACGTGCAACATCCCTATTGGTTTCAAAGGTCTAAATATGAATGTATTGTATTTTAAATTGACTTTTAAAGTAAAAGAAGTATTTTTTTTAGAATTCTTATTTCATTTGTAAACGTATCATTATCACTATCAATTTCGACATTTTAAGCTTTATTTTTCTTAAAGAAATCTTGGATGTGAAAATATTTTAAAATAAAAATAAAATACTTATTTCTTATCAGAATATTCTAAAATAATATATTATTATTATAAACAAAAGAATAAAATAAAATAAACAATTATTAAGTTCTACTATAACAATTTGAATTAGATAAACTGATGTATACAAATCATCAACAAGAGCATCTCTGCATTTTAATATCAATATAGTATACAACTCCCCTCTTAAAATTTACTTATTTATATAATAATTAATCGATATGTGTATAGATAATAAAGAATATGTATAGATAATAAAGACTCTAAACACTGTTTAATATTAAATAATTAATGATACACGCGTAAACAGTCGTTTATTATTAATTATTTATAAGAAAGATTTTTAACAGAACACCCCCGTGGGTATTTTCCTTAACCTGTCTCTAGCGATTTGTATAGATTTCTCAGCCTCTAAAAATCCATTCGCTTTAAGTTAGCTCTTCCTAAAAATCAAATGATGATTAACATAAACATTCGTGAAAAAAAAAAATATATTACATTTTTGAAATGTAATTGTTGGTAATTTTTAAAACACTTCACTTATCTCAACAACTATATTTAAAGCTAAATATAGAATGTAGTTATTTCGAACTATATCGATTTTTTCGCTTAAAAATTGACTTCTATACGAAATGTAGGAGAGGAGTATTTAAAAGTTTAGCATTTGATAAATGTATATCGATTATAAGAAATATCCCAGTGTAACAAGTAGTAGTCGAACAGGAGTATTAAATGTGAACCGTAAAAAGCATTAATAAAATAATAATAATAATTAAAATATAAAACTTACCTGCGGTATGCTGCAAATAATACTGATAACCCAAGCAAACGTTAGCATAATTTTACTTCTACGTTGAGCATCATTTACTTTAAGAGGATGCAAAATTGCAAAATATCGGTCTAAACTTATACATACCAGTACCATACTCGATAAATAAGGCCCGAAAGCTCTTAGAAATAGCATAACTTTACATGCAGTGTTTCCAGCGATCCATTCGACTGTAATTCTCCAACTGATTTCCAAAGGTATCATAATAAAAGTAACAATTAAATCGGCTATTGCCAGATGCATCAACATTAATTTAATCCGTGATTTTCGATGACGATTTCTTAGGAGGGTGATGAAAACAGGTAAATTGCCCGCAGCGGCAACAACAAATAAAAAACTATAAATAACAAGTTCTTTGACGGAATCTTCGTTAAAAGTTAAATAATGTGGTAATTCTTGAAGAGAATAATTAAGAGTATAGTTTAATAAACTGTCGTTATCTGAGTATAGCATGGTTGTTTAACTTGGTCGCATCTGACTTTCCATGATGTGTACCGATCTGAGAGAACTGTTCGAATGGTCGTGTGTGTGCTATGCAGCTCCTCTCTGTCTAGTGATACTGCTTGTGCACAACTGTGGTTGGTTGCGAGTAAACTGCTCGATTAATTTCCCGTGTTTATTACAATTTCTCTTCAATTTTGTTTTTGGTTTTAATTCACTTCATTCTAATATCTAATGATGAATAAAAATATTTTCTCATTATTTATATATATATTTAATTAGATTATTTATTTATTTCAATACTTTAAATGTAAATATTCCCGTTTAAAAATATATTTTATAACTTAGAATAATAATATTAAATGAAAACGTTTATACAATATTTATTTATTAAACGAATTTAGTTATTAATTTAAATATATTAAGGTATATAATTTATATACAAAGTTATAGAAAATGAACTTAAAGTGCAGCTTATATATTCAGTATAGTGTAAGAATGTAATCTTACAAAGGGTGCATTAGGAATAGGCTTACGTAAATTACTTTTTTTAGATTAATCTAATAAAATTTATAAATAAAACATTCTTTATTTGTATCTTAGTACTATTCATTCATACAAATTTTTGAATGGATAAATAAAGAAAATTTGGAATAAATATTTAATGTATTTATTCTAAGGGGAGCATTAACCTCCTCTTCCCACTGAATATGCCTATGTAACATTCACAATATAGTGTCAATACTAAATATTATTTATCTTATACATGTATTTATTAGATTTAAATTAATATATATTACGATTTTAAATATATAAATGTAAAAAATATTTCTTACTATTTAAAATTGCAAAGCCAAATTTAAGGGCATTTGAAAGAGAGAAAAACAAAAAACAAATTTAAAACAAGAAGCGTTATTCTTATTTTAAATATAAAAACTTTTAATTTTTAACTTGAAAAAATATATTTATTATAAATGAAAGGTAGAAATAAGCAATAAATATAATGAAAAAACATAAAAATTTTAGATTTTTTTCGGTAATTATTTCTAAACTAGTAACAATAGCGATCAATCAATAATACAGAGAAGATATTGTTTTGTTCAATAATGAATGTTTCTGATAGCACTTGCAGCAATTGTTCACATTCTTCTATTACTTTTATAATGGCAAACAAATATTAATTAGGTACTGTACACTTGAAGAAACTTAAAACAATTATTTTTTATAATCTAATTAACATTGTCTGGTAATTTTAATTATCAAATTTTAGAATAATATGTTTAAATTTTTAATAACTAAATTTAAATATATAATAAGCCTTTAATCCATTTTTTAAATATATAAATATAATAAAATATACTTATACAAATATGTAGTAAATAATTTTTACTTTCTTCACTGTTATAACAGAGAGAAAGTATGGCAATCCGGCAAAAAAATAACTTCCCAATCCAGATTTTTAGATTTAGAACACCTTGAAAAGTCGAGAAATGCAAAATAATCGGGGGGGGGTTAATTTCTGTATGTATGAACATTAGTGTGCGTGTGTGAAGGGGGCACAATTTAGTTCACCCTGTTTGAAGCTTAATAACTCCTGTGCTTTATATCAAAAATTTCTGAAATTTTGCAGGGGGGTTTATTTATTAGGCGGATTGATACTGTTAAATTTTGATGGTTAAAGATCGACGGGGTGGTGAGATAGAGGGGATCGAGTAAGGTTAGACTTAATGATGATGTTATTCGTTATTAGCATTTAGAATTTTTTATAAAACTCATCCCTATCCTCAAGATTAATTTTTTTTGTTATTAATATAATAGTTAAAAATATAAAAAAAAATTAAATAAAATATGATAACAGATGGCGCCACCAAAGTTTTAAATGTTGCCGAGAAAGTTAAGCAACTCGTTGCTGGTTTATTATTGAAGAGTTATCATACACTACATAAACTTTTCATATCTGATATACCTACTAAAATGCATTTTGGAATATTTTGGAAGCATATAAGGCATTAAAGATTTCAAGTGTATAATAAAAATTATGTACTACCGATTTGTATAAGTATATTGTATTATAAACGAAATTTATATTAATTGTTAATATTTGATATTTTTACTATAAATAATATAATTTTACATGTTATTTATATATTTTAATCAATATTTTAACTTAAAGTTTTATTATCGAGCTACAGATTTCACAGATTATCGAGATTTTTGTCATAGTCAGTCTTTTTTAAATCGATCCGGATGAGAGATCGTTTCAGATAAATGTAAAATATTCCTATAAAGGAAACGAAATTAAAAAAAAATAAGAATTATAAAATCAAATCATTGCCACAAAATTATATATAAAGGTTTTTAAAACATCTGCAATATTAATTCAGTTTAATCTGCGATTTTATTACACGTCTCGAAGGAATCTCAATTTATATTTTCAAGAGATCAACGACATTTATATAAAATCTGATAAACGTGTCCGCAATAAATCGAAGGTTGCAACTGAATCGTAATAAGTAGTGTCACTAGATATGTTGTTTAATAGACTAATGTCTCTTGTGATTGATGCTATTAACCTTCTATGAAAAAATATTACTTTCTTCGATAGTGAGGAATCTCGTAAATTTCTATACGTAACAATAATTAAATTTTCTAAAATATTAAGCAAATAAACATTATCTAATAAATGAAAACGTATTTTATATGTTTCTTATAATTCCCCTTCTGCTATAGAACTGAAGGGTTGTAGAACAAACCTGTGGTTGTAGCTAAGTGTAATTCTTTATTAGTGCTTTTGTTTATATGGAAATGTAAGTCTTTGTGTAAAGAAACATTTTTTTTGAAATATTTCTTAAAAAAATAGAGAAATATTTTTGTGTATTACGTGTATTAAAGAGACATTAAAGGATCGTTTAAGTTCTATCTGGTTTCTATGACAACATATTGCTCTAACTCATTACGATTATACATCACTTTATACGAATATATTCGTATGTTTAAATTTCTTGTCATAAAATAACATTAAATTCCTTTATACTGTAATTTATTGATAATATCTGAGAATTAATACATAAGTCCACATAAAATCCTATAATTTTCTTTTAAAAAAAACTATTAAATATGCTTAATTTTACAGATTATTCAAAGTTGAAAGGGAATTTTTAAAAACGAAAGTTTAATTCGAGAACGATTGAACCTAATTGTTTAATTAATAATAATTCAATAACAATCAATTATTATATACATTTTATTTTTATGAGAGATGAAACGAATCGTACTTTTATATCAATAAATGACAGGAATATCAGAGAGGGGGAAAAAACCCATTAGAACTTAAAGTCCAGCTGCAACAATGAGTCAAAGTCAAGCTTAGAATACTCGTCAAACGAACCAGCATCTGTTACCTTGTACATAGAAAAAGGTCAATGATTCTTTTGGTAATTAAAGCCACATTTATCTATGATAACTGGCAGTTAGTAGACAAGTTAAAATTTAAATTTCAGAACTTTATCATACTATAAAATAATCAATAAATTGTTTGACAAGCCTTTGACTAATGATAATTTATCGTCTCATTAATACATCAAATGTGTTAAATTTAGCAAGTTTAATTTTTATTCTTTCAATAGATTATCGGTAGAATTTTAAATGTATTTTCGCTAACTAAAGACGTAAATACGATATTTTTCAATGTATTAATCAACACTTTACGGTTAAGAGATTATATGGAATAAAGATATCGGCTATAAATTTAAAAAAAAATACTAAAAAATTGATTAAATATTTTTCTTTTACATTTATCTAAGATTATCTAAATAGAAAATTAATAGGGAAAAAAATCGAAGTACATTCTATAAGCCTATTTATTTAAGGAAAAAAATTATATTAATAAATTTTTTTTAATTTTATAACAATCATTTTTTTATATATTAGAAATTCCGAAATTTATGATTAAATTTTAGATTAAATTTTGAAAAATACTGCAAATATAATGTTTTTTAAAAGTTATAAATCAAATAAATTATTGCTTCTGAAGTTAATATTTAACAAAATAAAGTAATAAAGTAATACTTTATATTAAATTGTAAACGAGCGATTTTTATTACGCCTTACTTACTTTAATTTAATCTTATTTACTTATTTCACTATTTAAAAATAGATGTATTTAAATATAGTTTTAGATTTCGTAATGTTTAATAATTCCACTAAAATAGTTCTTAAATTATTATCAGTTTTATACCTAAAACTGACTTTAAAATAGGTCAATTTAAGAAAAACTTTATCAACGAGTTGCGTAACTTTCCCGGCGACAACATTCAAAATTGCGTGTGACACCATATGTTATGAGATTTTAATAATAGAAACTTTTTATATAATTAATTTTTATAAAATGGCTTAATTTTGAGGGTAAATACGAGTTTTATTTTTAAAAAATTATGAGTTAATGGCGAGTATTAAGTCCAACTCTACTCGAGATACGATACACGACCTTCTCTATCTACTTATTCCCTCGTCCTATAATCATAAAAATTTAACAGCATCAATCTCCCTAATAAGTAAACCTCCCTGCAAAATTTCAGAAATTTTCGACAAAAACACAGGAGTTATTAAGCTTCAAATGGGGTGAACAAAATTGTGCCATAGACACATAACACATACAGAACACTCCTAACATACATATATATACAGAAAAAAACCCGAATTTTTTTGAATTTCTCGTCGTTTTAATGTCACCCGAGTGTAAAAATGTAAAAATCTTGGAGAGGGGGGGAGTCATTTTTTGACCGATCGCTATACTTTCCTTCTATCATATAAAGTAAAATTGTTCTTTTATAATAATTTATATACATATTTAATACCAGTTTCTAAGTAATTTGTACTGTTTTATACCGACATCTTGATTTCTCGTCATCTTTAAATGTCCGCCATTTTATATTTAAAACAGTAAAAGACACGAAAGTAATATTTCTAGTTATATTTACAAAAATATAAACAAAAATGTAAAAAGAAAAATT